AAAGCCTGCAGACTGCTGCTGTGTGACCTCGCTGCAGAGTTAAAGGTTGTGTGAATTTATTTCACATTCTTACTTTGAATGATTTCTTTGACGTTTTCTCTTTCCAGGGTGGAATGATTGTACAGTATACATCTTTAATGAAAAACAAGAAGTGTGTATAAGAAATTGAATTTATTTCTCTGCTGTCAAACGCAAACTGTCATGGCTAGTGAGGCGAGCCGTGTGGAGGAAATGAAGGAGGATCCAAATGCAGGCAGTCGTGAAGGTGTAAAGGTGGTTTATTGAACATGAAAGTAAATACAAACGGCAAATGGAGCTAGAACTAAACTATACTGGGATCAACTAAACTACAGAACACAAACCTTAACGAGAACGACCAGAAGAGACTAACGGCGGACAGCAGGGAGAACACACGGGTGAGACATGGTAGAAACACAGATGAGGCAGGGTGGAATACACAGACGGCCCAGCAACTACAATGACGGAGGACATGACTTAAATACACCCAGAGAAACACGGGGGAATTACACACAGGTGGTGGACACAGCTGGGAATGATCAATGTAAAACTGAACACACTCACATGAGACCCAGACCTTCACAATAAAACAGGAAATGAGAACACCACACCAAGACACAGACCTGACACTGAGAGACAGACAGAATGACACATGGAACCTGAACTAAACCAAACGTGAGATACAACCGAGAACAAATCCTTAAACATGAAACTCAAATAATAAACATCATAATCATCATCATAAACACAACAAGAGAACAAGAAAACAATCCCTGATGCAAACTAAAACCAAAACATAATAACCTCAAACATGGAATAACAAAAACATGAAACTCCTCCAACGGACCCAGACCCGTGACACAAACAGGCTCAAATATTCACAAACACTCACTTTCATCTTTAATAAATGGAGCTGAAGGTTCTACGGTGTCGGTTAACTTCTCGTAGGTGATCGTGGTTGACACTTTAAATTAAAAGCATTTGTTTGACAGCACTCGTCGGAAGGACTCGGATCTTCTCTGAGGTTCTTGGAGTCGTTCTAAGAAGATGAACTGCGCATTTCCACAAGTTGTGAAGGTCTGTGAATCATTTCTGAACAAGTTATTCAGATGTGCCACTTTATGAAAGGAAGAAGACCCAAACTGTCACACCGTCACAGTGGCGCTTCCACAGTGAAGCCAGTCTCACATCTCCATGGACTGACTAAGAAAGAAGCTCCTGCTCCAAAATCAACGAGCTCACGTGGACGAGCCAAAAGTTTGATGGTCAGACGAGACAAAGATGGAGCTGATTGGAGGAGCAAAGGTGAGGCTTTCAACCCTGAGAACACTGCAGCTGTGACGCATGGCGGTGGCAGCATCACGCTCTGGGCCGTGGTTCTGGAGTGATGAAGGAGGACGGACTCCAAAATCTGCAATTACACCTCAGATCAGCAGCTGGACACAGGCGGGTGTTCCAGCAGGACAATGACCCCAAACACACATCAGAGCTGGTTTTGGATAAAGCAGCTTAGCATTAAGCTTCTGGAAGGTCTTTTCAAAAGTTTATGGACTACACTTAAAGTCGGGTCGGTACCAGGAAACCAACTCATCTAAATGAATCCTGAAAAAGAAATCATTAAAAAAAATGACATTCATGCCCACGATGAGTGACCACAGCTGTGTGCACCATGTGCTGCTGCAGTGTGACAGCTGTGCAGCTGGTGAACATCAGCAAAAATAAATGGAACTCAGTCCGAGACCAAAATAACTGAAAGTGCTGGGAAACACAGTTTTGTTCATGCATCACTCGATGCCTGACTAGTATCACCTTTCGTGCGAGCTATGCTTAGGCTAGCCCCTCACCCAGGACTGATTTGGCTTTGTAGATCCAACCAGGGGCAAACGGCCCCAACAGCAAAGCTCCTGGGAAGACTCGGGCACAAACACCTGGAGCAGGTGGATGGAAGACGGACATCTGGGCAGATCTGCTGGGAAAAGTCCGTCTAATTAACTACAGTAATTTACTTAAGGACCACAAGCAAGAGAAGCCATACTGTCCCTCACCTCCATAAATAAAACTGAATTTAATCCATTCACACAATTGAAACATGTTCTCACAGCGTTGGCTTTTCAGCTCGACTCAACTGTGATTTTAAAATCCACTCGATTCTACAAACCTGCGCCCTCCGGTGACTGCAGCATGAGCCGAGCTTCGTCACACGATAGGGAGGAATGCAGCGCAGAGAGCGGCCGAGCGCCTGTGTGGGTGAACTGTCTGATAATCAGTATTAATGAGGGCAGAGACAGCAGGCCGGTGAGGCCTCGACGTGACCGTTAGTGCTGAAAGTTATTCAGCCCCGCTGCAGACAGTTTGTGGGTCAGAGTGAATAACAGCAGGCGTGCAGTACGATGCAGATCCAGCACTTCTGGAGACAGAAGAGTGGAAAGGAAAGTCGAGCGCCGTCATCCAAACATCCGTCACAAACCGGCTCCAAAGGACTCTGACAGAGCAATGCTTTCAAACCTGTGTCCTCCTCCAGCGATTATATAAGAAATGTCACTGTGAATTACTAGAGGACGGTTACGCAGGTTTGTCTCGACTGCAGCCAAACCTGCCTGATGGGTTTTCCATACATAAAACTCTGCTAACAGGAAATGACAGGACGGTTTAGTGTGGAATATTCTCCTGAGGAAGATGATTGAAGCAGTGTTTGTGGTGCAGATGTGGCGCTCGTGGAGAAAGGAAGGATCCTTGCAAAGAGCACCGAGTCTGGGACTGTGTCACAGCTGAATTAGCCTTTGATTACCGAGCACCAACCTCCAGGGTGCAGAAGTAAAGCAGCAAAAGCTGCACTTCCTCTAGTGTTTGAGTTTCACTGCTTTTTTCACAGAAATCTTTCTTTGTCAGGATTTAAATCCCGAAGGACTTCCTGTTCACAAACACACTGATGTGGGAAAAACAAGCAACAATGTGCCGAAACCTGCCGTCTGTCTGAGGTCACCGTACGACAAAACAGTTTAAATACTGTTGGGTTTATGTTCGAATACTTTATCACGTCTTTATCTTTATGCCGTGTTCTTCTTATTACCATCTCGCTCAGTCCCTCACTCAGCACCTGACGTCCAATCAGCCTGCAGCCAGTCGTACCTGCCCCGGCTTCTGCTCCACTTTGACCAAATAACCAATTAAAGGATCTGTTTGTCTGATTGTAACCCACTTCCTGCAGCCCTCGACCTCCTTAACACCGATCCTCAGTAATCTGCCTCGCTCATCCGTCTGCATCAGCCTGCTGGCATCTGGCAGCCAGACGACTCAGCTCAGCTACACCCTGCTCTCTGATCCAAATCGGTTTCTTCTGCCTGGCTCTGATATTCTCTGATTTCTCCCTCTGAGTTTCTTGTCTTTTTTGGCTCGTTGTGCCTGTAAAAGAACTTTATAGTGTCAAAAATATGAGTCAAGACCAATAAGCAGTTATAACATCAGGCAAGTTCACTTTGTGTGCTGGAGTTACAGAAATACTCAAACAGGCAGCCCGAGTAACACCGGCCGCTACAAACACACCTCGGTGACCCCTGCACAGGCGTCCTCTCTGTCAGCTGTTTCCAGGACCTCACATTCTCACATTCAGAGCCAACTTCACGTCCCTGTTAGAGATGTTCCTCTGACTATTAAACTCTGGCTGAATCGATGCTGATTAACTGATAAAGTCTTTACAACAAAACAAAATCAGGGGCAGTCCAGGATAGAGACATGGAATGGAATAACTTCCTCTGAGCGGAATAATCTCCCAGCTTGACTCCATTTAGTTTTTCTTTTTAAAAATAAATACACGAAAAGATGAAAAGGTTTTCTGTTTCGTGCCTCATCATCCTCTTCATTTGATACTGACATGAGAAATGATCACAGCTGATGTTTATCTTCTCTCTTTGATGTAGGCCTATTAAACGTCTCGATATCTGCTCATCAGTACTTCTCCTGACAGCCTGTTTGCAGCTTCTTGACTTTTCTGCACAAGTGTCACCTGATCACTCACTTTTACATAATCCAGCAGCAGCCGTGCTGCTCTGGTTCAGGTCTGGAGCTCTTCCTGAGTTATTCTCAGACTGAAATTTGGGGTTTGGTGCCATCTCTGCGTCGGCCAGCCTCTCCGGACAGGTGGAGGCTGCTGACATCAGTGGGTTTTTTTGTTTCATTTATATTTATTGTTAGAGTGGATACAGTGACGGGTGAAGTGAATGCACTGGTTATCTCTGCATCGTGGCTCCTGTTTGCAGGTGTCAGGGAGCAAGAACCTCAAAGCTGATGTTAGAAGGCGGCGTCCAGATTCCCGGGTCTCAGTCCAATCGTGCATGTGTGAGACGTGCTGGACAAAAACCTCGCAGCTTACAGGAGGTGAAGCATCTGTTGGTGCAGATACCACAGCACACCCTCAGCGTCCACGCCTCGACAGATCGGATCACCAAAGTGTCATCGTTTATTTTCCAGTCGTCTTGGTTTTTTCTCCCAGGTCCTCGTGGAAAATGTGGAACACACCATCTGTAAGTTTGACGGTATCAGTCTGGCAGCGGACTCACTCTCTTTGTCCCCAACGAATCAACTCTTTGTTTGTTCCAATTATAAACTATTTTGAGTTTTTTGGGGGGGGTTTAAACTTGTAGTTACAAAAAAATTATAATAAATTGGGAAAACTGATAAAAGTGAAATGAAATGAGTTAATGGGGCCAGTCAAAGGTGTCAGTTTTACCATCCCATCCCAGTTCCTGCTCCGTTCCAGTGTAAGAGCAGGAACACCCGGAGTGAGGGAACAGACTCTCCTCTGACTGATGTCAGTTTGTGCAAACACAGCGACCTGAGATGATGATGGTGATGGTCTCTACGATGAGACACTTGGCTGCCAGTTCATGTGAAGTTAAAGTAAAGCTTGAAGTATAGCAACAATAATCAAAGGAGGCAGCATGTTCTGAACAAAAGGTTTTATTTTTACTGTGTGTTGTGCGTCAGATGGTCCCTTTGTTTTCTTTCTCTTCTAATAGAAATAAGGCGGCTGCTCTTCCAGCTGCAAATATTCCTTCTCACCAGTCAAGCCTTTTATTTGTCACATGCAAAGTTTGCAGCTGCAGTGAAAGACGGACCTGCCTCCAAACGTCTGACTTTATCTACACTCTGACTACGTGGAGACGCTTGAGCACAGTGTCGTTGTTTCGACAGCAGAGAGGATGTCAGTTGTGACGTCAGTGCTTTCTGTGGCAGCGTGTCGCTACTTTAGCGAACTGCTCGCAGTGGACCCGCCCATCTGCTCCAACACCCGCCTCCTGCAGCAGCTCGTCCACTGAAAACACAGACACAGCTGTCAATCACAGTTAACTCATTTGTTCCAGATGTAATAGAAACCTGTAGAAAGTGTGTATCCATTCTTCTCCCTGTCAGCAGCTCCAGTTTTAGAAAAGCAAACCAATCATCAGCTTTTGTCTGTGATTAGAAGGAAATTCTGATATTTAGTTTTATATTCTGTTTCAGGGCCATAAGTGTGTGCATTCATGTCACATGAATGAAGCATATTTATTCTGATCATTCAGGTTGTCCTGAATAAAATGATGGAAATTAGATGCCAATTTCTTTAAATAAAGTTCTCATTAAAACCCTTTACAGAGAATTTCACAGGTCCCACATGACGGCGGGTGACAGGGTATCAGTATAAACTCAGCCTCCTACAACATTTCCAAGAACCTCGCCACCATGCTAGCTCCCCACCAACTCTACCAACACGGTCCAGAAACTTGCACTGGATCCAGATGAAACCATTGTGTCCTCTGATGTGGTCTCAGTCTTGTATCCCTACAACCGAGGCAGCAGAGACTGTCAGGAAACAACTGCAGACAGAAAACAGAACCAGCTTCACCTCCACAACGAGGGTTTTTACAGACACAAACATGGATGTGCCATGGGCTCCCTGGTGTGTCCAACCTTTGAAATGGTAAATGGTCTGTATTTGCATAGCGCTTCACAAGCCGGGACTCGAACCGGCAACCTTCAGATTACAAGGCGAACTCCCAACTCTTGAGCCACGATCGCCCATCGTTTACATGCAGGAAGGGACAGCACCTAGCCGATGATACCGATACATGGACGACACCTGGGTCAAAATCAAAACCCAAGAAGTGGAATCAAATCTGGATAGAAACATCAAATACACCAGGGAAGACACAAAGATAACAGTGCCATGAACACTGAGGACAATGGAAACCTCAACACTGAAGTTTACAGAAGCCCACACACATGGACCAGTACCTCCTCTCTGACTCCCATCACCCTCTGGAACACAGACTTGGAGTAACAGGACCCAACACCAGGCAGAACATGTTCCCTCTAAGCCTGAAGGGAGAAAGAAGGAACGCACACGTAAAGGAAGCATGTGTAACATGTGGCTCTCATCAAATCAGCAAAGATGCAGAAAAAAGAAGATCAGACACCAGCTATGGAGGATGAGAAGGACAAACAGAACAACGCTTCATCCCTGATGTAGCAGGTTTATCAGAGAAACTCAGGAGAGTCTCAACATCCCAGTGCACTTCAGACCACGCTACACACTCAGACACAAACTAAACAGCGTAGTGTAGCAGTGCAGTGAGGAGTGCTCAGACACTGGAGACACCAAACAGCCTCTCGATAAAGCCGTGGCATTTATGAAGAAGTCTTCACAAACTAAAGGACGTCATGTTTCCTTCTTTTTTCCAGCTCCAGGACCTGAATGACTGTGAACCTACATGGATGTAAAGACATGAAGAGTGGCTCGAGATTTTTGCAAAGCGCTACACAACATATGTTTGACATTGAGTAATAGATCCTTTCATTGAGTTTTCATAGAAAGTCATATCTGTTCATAAATGTTGCCTTACAGCTTGTGTTGGGTTTTTTGGCATCGCAGATGAAACTGATAACAGCCGAGTGCTTGAACACCACCACAGGAGAAGCTGAAGCTGCTACGTTATTCAGCAAAAATAAATATTAATGTAATATGCTGTTAAAAAAGTAACAGCACAGCCAGGCCAAATGCTGAAGTTCTCCAAATTCATCAGTTACAAAAAGTATTTGAAGGTTTTCTATGATGTCTTTTTCTTCCCTCGGTGGGATTTTGGGGCTCTTGGTGTTTCATAACCTCCATCTCTTCTTTCTGAGCCATTCCTTGGTGTATTTGTTAGCGTGCTGAGCATCATTATTACTTTCAAAGTTGGACTTTTGTTTTAACTTTCGGACAGATAGCCTCACGCTAGCTTCAAGCACTCTTTGATATGAAAGAGCATTTCTTCCATCGGGCTCCACAGTTGTTTTTGGATTTCAGCGCCTTTAGTCTGCGCTAAAAACATCGATGGTCTGTTTCAGCCAAACAAGTCTATCTTTAATTAGTCGTGCAGAGCGCTTTCTTCCAAAGAGGCGGCTCTTTGAAAGCACAGTGTGCTCAGTGCAAAATAGTTTTGCAGTAATATTCTTCTAAATGAGGACAGGCTTCATTTGTTTCTCTTTTATTTGAAGTATCACAAAACATGCTCTCCTCAGTCGGGTCAATGGTCCTGGACGACTCATGACTCTTCTTACAGTGGACTCGTCCATTTCTAATAACTGGGAGCATTTTTAAATCTCTTTCCTGCTTCTCAACCTTCTCTTTAGAGAGCCTCAGAGAGCTACTTAGATCAAGAAATGATGACATAAAATACTTTAATTACCAATAAGACCGACATGTTTCATGAGCTTTTTGACTGAACTTAAACTAAACCAGCCATTTCTGTAGTTTTTATATTAAACGTTTCAATAACTATTAGCATTTTTTTTAAGTTAAATTGCATTTTAGCGTTGCACTTTTTTGACCCGTCAGTGACTTGGTGGATGTGTTGATCAAACATGGCAGTTCTACTAACAGGCCAATCATTTAAACAGAGATGCAGCCAGTTTGTTTCAGTAATGATGAAAGCAACAGAAAGAAAGAAGGATGGATTAGTGTAAGGTGTTCCCTCTCTCTGGAAACGACACAATCATTCAGATGGATTAGACGCGTCCTCGGGGAAATGACGTGTTCTGATAGGAGCTCCTTAAACGACCTTTTATCAGCAGTTAAAGTGGAGAATGGGAACCAGTCAGACGAGTGCAAACCAAAACCCTGCAGGATGTGGAGAAGAACACAAAATATTATGAACCTCCTTATTGCGGCTCCTCCAACCAACGGCTAAACATGAGGACACAGATGACGCGCAACAGGAAACACATGAGATGCACTTCTGTACTATTTGCTCCTTTTATTCCACATGGTACTGTCCACTATACGAATCAGCACATGGGATCAAACTATTAAACAAATGCACAGACTGCACAAACAAAATAACTGCAACTCACAAAAAATTCCCCCAATTACTACACCAAACTACAACATCGGCCTGTGGCATAAATTAGTGCATAAACCATACGTCAAGTTACAGTCAAGCTGACTCAAGCTGCGGTCGACAGAAGGTTTCCCCTCATGCTCACCCTACTTTTCTGCTCATCAACATCAGGTGCGGTGAACAGGTGAGTGCAACCACATTTACCACCTAACACACCCATGAGTCACGCCCCACGCCCGTGCACCAGTACAGTGATTGCATTTAAACCAACCCACTTAATCAAAAAAGGAACAACTCATATGGCTCCTACACTCCTCGTGTTCATTCCACATGCATAACAGCACGCATTCTTCTTGCTATGTGAGGCTTCAGGTATTAAAGTCTACAGAAACAATCTCGCTCAGCCATCTGTGGGCAACAAAGAAGCAAAATGCTGAGTTGTTGGTTTGTGATGCTGCAGAGCTCTGTTTTCACTGTCACCAACTTCTGTGTAGAAATGGATTAAAAGTCTGAAATGCTGAAAACTGCAGAGCTCAATGAGCAGTAACTTTGCTGCCTGTAACAACACCGTGCACGAGGATTCACTTCCACTTGTCAAAAGCATGTCTTTGTCCTGTCTTCCTTATATCACAGCAGATGGCCCCGCCCCTCCCTGAACCTGGTTCTGTTGGAGGTTTCTTCCTGTTAAAAGGGAGTTTTTCCTTCCCACTGTCGCCAAAGTGCTTGCTCATAGGGGGTCATTGTTGGGTATATCTCTCTATGTACTATTGTGGGTCTACCTTACAATATAAAGCACCTTGAGGCGACTGGATTAACCCTCTCAGGCTCAAATTAAGTTTTTGTTGCTAATGCACAAGAGAATACCTGCAGTGGTACTTCTGAGTAAAGAAAACTCATAAAACATGTATGTGGGGTAATCGGGTTGTTAGTTTTTAACTGTTGCAAATCTGCAACGCCTGCCTCGAGAGGGTTAAATGTGAGTGGTTTTAGGAGACACTCACCCTCTTTGTCTGTCAGTTTCTCTCCCAGCCCGGTGAGTTTGGCTCGCAGCTCAGAGGCCAGGATGAAGCCTTTCTGCTCCTTGTCGGCCATCCTCATGGCCTCCAAAATCTCCTGCTCTGGCCCCTCCTGCTGGAGCTGCCGGTGCATGATGCTCAGGAAGGTGGAGAAGTCCAGCTCTCCTTCCCGGCCTGTGAGCAGAAAGAAAACAGAGATCTGCTTTTACTGGCACAAAGAAATGAGGCCACTGCAGGAGAAGGGAAGGGCGGGGGAGAAAGTACCACACAGTGTATATGAAATGAGCAAACACTAAAGCAATAAAAGCAAATGTAAAGAGTGTGGCTGTGAGGTAGCTGCTGACGATATGCAGTTAATTAACCAGAACACACACAGCTTCCTCCAGGCTGATCTCAGTGTGTATGAGAGAAACAAGGAAAAACAAATATCACCTCCTTTATGGAAACAGACACAAATATCAAAACTACAGCAAATTTAAAATTACTCCTCAAACTTTCGCAGCTTTCCAGGAAATCTAAGGTTCAGGGGCGCTGACATGGAAACAGGAGCTTCGTTCAGGCTTGCTGTCTTCTTACAACAATGACTGAATAACTTTTTCTTGATCTCAGGATATTAAAATCTTTATCTTCAGGTAAATCCATTAATCTGTCCACATTGGATTATTTATCTCAGCCCCTTCTGTCAAACATGATGGAAATACCAGCCCAATCTTGCATATCAGGGTTTCATTCCTCTGCCACGTCCTCCACCTGACCCAGCTGAGAGACCTGATCTCAGGGATCTGCCCCGGGGTCTCCAGTCTTTGGAAAATAAGGTGAACATTATCCAAACAGTAACACTCTCCTCCAGGACCTCCACAGCCTCTCGTGAGCATACGGGGGAAAGTGGAGGCCGAGAGAATCAATCATCTGCGTCTCCGACAACTTTTCACATGTTTTTGACTCCGTTGGTGCGGTGAGGAAGATGAAGGCAACACAGGGGACAAAGCAAGCAGGTCAGGTTTGATAAACACAAATGGAGCCATTAAGATCACATGAGGTGATAAATGCTTGGTTTGCTCACTGAAATAGCTGCGCTGCTCGTGGGCTGGTGAGCTGAACTGTTTCATTTCAGCACTTTCCCTGATTTGAGTTATTACTGCGTCACCTCAGAAATCAGAAATAAGGAGTCGGAAGGATGATTTCGGGAATACTCTACCCATGTTGTGGCTCAGGAGGTGGCGCTGGACCTCGGAGGGGGTGGGGCTCGACCCAAGGCATCGCATCACTGTTATCAGCTCCTTGGCTTCGATCTTGCCTTTCCGCTGGCGGTCGTACAGCGAGAAACACTCCTTAAACTCTGCGGACACATGAACACGTTATACACATGTGCAGGAGTCCACATTGTTGCTTTGTCATGTGGACAGAGCAGGATCAGTGATGTCAGCAGGTCTCAGCCTGAGTGCGTCACCTGCTGGGAGAAGGTGGATGATGCTAACAAGGTGCAAAGGAAACTAAAGAGCAACTTCAGCCTTCACTCCTGAGACAAACGTGTTAAACTTCACTCACAGCTCCTCCAGAGGCAGCGAGACCGATCGGACACGCGTGCCCGTCCCATCTGCTGCAAATGAGCCTCAAAGGCGCCTTTATCTTTCTGTACCAAGGTTACATCTGTTCACATACTACAGTGGATGCAAAAGTATTCGGCCCCCTTGAACTTGCCCACAAAGAGTGTGGCTGTGAGGTAGCCCCACTTTGCAGTTATTTATTTGTACAAAATGTATGATTTGTGTTCCACTTCTCACGTGTGCACCACTTTGTGTTGGTCTTTCACCTGGAATTCCAATAACATTGATTCATGTTTGTGGCTGTAATGTGACAAAATGTGGAAAAGTTCAAGGGGGCCGAATACTTTTGCATCCACTGTACATACTATGTAATACACAGCCGTGCTTCACAGGACTCTGCATTCACTCCAGCCGAAGAACCTGTTTTAGCACCAATAACGTGCAGTGATGTCTTTATCTGCCTCATCACTGTGGAGGAGTTTTAGTTGCGTCGCCTCATTGAGGTTTGCAACATCCGCTCATGCACAGCTCTCTGAGCTCTGCAGCAGCTCCATTCTTTCCTTCTTCAGTCGTTCTGTTGCAGACCTGCTGCTGTGCTGGGATCTTTGTCCTGTTGATGACCCGGTTTGGTCCAAGCTTCAGCTGTGGGACACACGGCCTCACACTGACTCTACAGAGGAGCTCATGGTCCACTCAGATCATCGTCCCTCCTCCACCGTGCTGACGGCTGTATGAGGTCTTTGGTTTCTTCAAGCTGCTGAAGTCTTGTTCTTTGTTTACATGCAGCTTTGATTCAATTCAATTTTATTCATATAGTGCCAACAACAGTCACCTCAAGGCGAAGATCAAGATGAAGAACAACATCACAGCGATGTGTTGTATCAGAGTTATTTCTTGTTAAATCATATTTCTCATTCAGTTCAGTTTTATTTATACAAATCACAACAACAGTCGCCTCAAGGAGCTTTATACTGTAAGGTCGACCCTACAATAATACATACAGAGGAAACCCAACAATCATATGACCCCCTATGAGCAGCACTTTGGCGACAGTGGGAAGGAAAAACTCCCTTTTAACAGGAAGAAACCTCCAGCAGAACCAGGCTCAGGGAGGGGCGGGGCCATCTGCTGCGACCGGTGGGGGTGAGAGAAGGAAGACAGGATAAAGACATGCTGTGGAAGAGAGACAGAGATTAATAACAGATATGATTCAATGCAGAGAGGTCTGTTAACACATAGTGAGTGAGAAAGGTGACTGGAAAGGAAAAACTCAATGCATCATGGGAATCTCCCAGCAGCCTACGTCTATTGCAGCATAACTAAGGGAGGATTCAGGGTCACCTGGTCCAGCCCTAACTATATGCTTTAGCAAAAAGGAAAGTTTGAAGCCTAATCTTAAAAGTAGAGATAGTGTCTGTCTCCTGAATCCAAACTGGAAGCTGGTTCCACAGAAGAGGGGCCTGAAAACTGAAGGCTCTGCCTCCCATTCTACTTTTAAATACTCTAGGAACAACAAGTAGGCCTGCAGAGCGAGAGCGAAGTGCTCTAATAGGGTGATATGGTACTACAAGGTCATTAAGATAAGATGGGCCTGATTATTTAAGACCTTGTATGTGAGGAGCAGGATTTTGGGCTTTGAAAAACTAAAACGTGCTGCCTTGTTCTTTTTAGAGAGACGAGTCTTGTTTGTTCAGTCTGTTTCTAGCTGCACTGTCACAGATTTTAACCTTTAACCTGCTAACTGAGGTCTGCAGAGTCTGAGATGGAGCTCTTGGGACTTTTGGTGTTTCACAGGCTGGATGCACATCGAGAACACATCCTGTGACCTCAGCTGAGATATTTCCAGTCCACTCTTCCACCCTGTCAAACTGTTTGACACTTAAAGACATTTTAATGATTTTAACAACTCAAACAAGAAAAGCCACTTCTTCCCTTTCCATTGTTGTGTTTGGAACATCAGGGAAATCTCACGATCTTCATCTTTTAATGACTCTTCCCAGCTGATTCGACTGTCATCCACGCAGACACTAAGTTTGCTGAAAACACTAAACTGATTGTAAAATGAGTGAATAAAAGCTGCATCTGTGCATGTTCGCCTGTGTCAGAATAAACTTGTGTCCCGTGGGAAGCCCTGACGGCAGTTTAACAGACTGGAAGATGAGAAACCACCAAACACAAGCAGACTGAAAATCAGTGTTTGGATGCAATACCTCCTCATTAGCAAACACTGCACTCGGACCCTCGCTGTCTGATCGCATTAGCGGGTCAGGGAGGTCAGCTGAACTGGAACAAGCGCTGCTTTGTGCCGCAGCGGCCACACAAGACTCTTCTGTCTGATTAAAGTCCTGCTGCCTGTGGCTGAAATAATAACCTGTCCTTCCTGCATCACAGAGACCATCACGGTCAACGCTTCGTCATCTGAATGCATCAGTTTAAGTTCCAGCAGTAAGCAGCTGTGTCAGGACAGCAAGGGCACACGTGTCAGCATCTTACCGTTAATCTGATCCTGAGTCAGGAACTTTGCCTGGAATGAAAGCAGGAACAGCATTAACAGAAATCTGGACGACAGCGTGAAGCTTCAGCGGGGACGTTATCTTACCATTGTGTCTGCTGTTGTGACGAAGCAGCCGGCTGTCAGCGCTCAGGAAAACTGATCCACGCTCTGAAAGATGAGGAATGTAACGGGAGCGGACGGCGGATGCTGGCTGGGACAGCCAGGCTCATCCCTCTGCTGCTGAGGTGTCGCGTTTATGTTTGAAAGCATATATATTTAATATCACACATGCTGCACATACGAGCAGCTGAAAGCCTCCTACACACCTCTGTTCACCTCTGACCCACGTGACCAGGGTCAGAGGTGAACAGTCAACACTGGAGGACTCCTGAACGCCTAAAAACTGCTGCAAAATCAACAATTATTTGAAACAAAATTCAGTTTTCATTAGATGGAGCAGATACTCTCAGAGAGTCGATGCACAGGAGCAGAAAAGGATTAAAGGTTAATATTATTTCTAGAGCTACACATTTTTTTTTTTATCTTAAATCTGTAAAATGCTGTTTAGTTGGAAACCTGTGAATTCTTCTGTCTAAAGACAGACTCGGTGAATCGCTCACTGTAGGTTATTTAAAAGTAGAATGGGAGGCAGAGCCTTCAGTTTTCAGGCCCCTCTTCTGTGGAACCAGCTTCCAGTTTGGATTCAGGAGACAGACACTATCTCTACTTTCAAGATTAGGCTTCAAACTTTCCTTTTTGCTAAAGCATATAGTTAGGGCTGGACCAGGTGACCCTGAATCCTCCCTTAGTTATGCTGCAATAGACGTAGACTGCCGGGGGATTCCCATGATGCATTGAGTTTTTCCTTTCCAGTCACCTTTCTCACTCACTATGTGTTAACAGACCTCTCTGCACTGAATCATATCTGTTATTAACCTCTGTCTCTCTTCCACAGCGTGTCTTTATCCTGTCTTCCTTCTCTCACCCCAACCAATCACAGCAGATGGCCCCGCCCCTCCCTGAGCCTGGTTCTGCTGCAGGTTTCTTCCTGTTAAAAGGGAGTTTTTCCTTCCCACTGTCGCCAAAGTGCTGCTCATAGGGGGTCATATGATTGTTGGGTTTCCTCTGTATGTATTATTGTAGGGTCGACCTTACAGTATAAAGCTCCTTGAGGCGACTGTTGTTGTGATTTGTATAAATAAAACTGAACTGAATGAGAAATATGATTTAACAAGAAATAACTCTGATACAACACATCGCTGTGACGTTGTTCTTCGTCTTTATCGGAGCTCTTATCGCGGTGTGCTCGTATAAACCATACTCTGAGCCTGAAGCCTCTCTCTACATGAACTGAGGTTGTATTAGAGCACGCTGCTGAATTTAATACATTGAGGATGTTTTTGAGGCATAACTCCTCCAAATTAAATTAAAAAGAAGGTTAAATTAAAAGATCTGAGAACTGAGACTTTGGGTATTCAGATACATTTACTTGGTTCAGTTTTATTCACATATATATCCACGCATATTTAAACAAATATTTGATTTTATATATTTCAGCTGCATTTTTCATGTTTCTTAGGGAAAATCCTTGAGCGTGAGCTGAGGAGAATGAATATTTTTGGTGGTTTGTGAGCTGCTTTCAGTCTTTGTATCCCAGTAATAAACAGGTGGAAAAGTGTGGATGCTGTGAGGCTGTATTTCTTATATCCAGTGAAAACCATAAACAGTTTCATCATGGCGTTCCTGTGATTCTGCGACAGATCCTCATTCTTCTCCTTCTAACTCCGTCATATGTGGCTCATCTGGTGGAGGTGGAGCGTGTAGACGGTGCAGGGCCGTGGGATGTAGATCAGTCCGGGGACTGTCGTCCTCAGGATGCTGTCGTTCCACAGACAGGCCACCCAGATCGCCACCAGGATCAGAGCTGCAGAGAAACTATCAGCACAGAGTCAAACAAAGGACGTCTTATGTAGGAGTTTGCAGGAAGGCAGCAACCACTCAACAAGCAGTTGGGAAATGCTCATTTTCCCCAGCGTGTCACCAAACAGTCGCCTGTGTGAGCGGAGCTTTGGGCCCACAGATGGAGAAGAAAAGGTGGAGGACAGTGAAAACGAGCCGTCTGCGTTAATGATGTGAGATGTTGTTTTAACTATTATTGATCCTGAGAGCCTGAATGAGTCGGTGTATTACCAACTTAACCTTGAACCTTTAATGTTGGTCGACTAAAAACCTGAAAACATAATTATTTATGTTTCCCAGTTTGCTCATTCGCTGCGTTTTCTCTTTTTTTTTTTACCTGTAGAACATGAAAAGCCCATCACTGTTGAGAAACAAGCCCCGCCTCCTCTGATGCATCACTGTAGTGGTCATGGCGAAGAAGGTGAAGGTGAAGAGGATGAAGGTCTGTCCTTCTGTGATTAAATACCTGTCGCCAGGGACAAAGAGAAGCATAACCAATCAGCTCAGTGGCTCCATCAGGTGGCCGGTGGGTGAAGTCGCCCTGCAAACGTCCACTGGTGTAAGCAGACCAAGCCGCTTCAGGGATCATTTCAGGGGAGGAGCCAGTCGGTTCGTTTTGAAGCTGTTTTTCTATAGGTGAGTGTGAGGAAGCTTCCTGCCATGTTAAAAATGTGTTTTCCACTCAGTTTCAGTGTAATTCTAACTGACCAGAGTGCAACATAAGTGCACATCGGGCAGTTTTCCACCGTGTGTGTTTCAGTAAGGTGACCGTATTTTGATTTTCAATAAATAGGACACTTGGACCAGTCATGAAGAACTTTAATAACACTGTTTCATATTTAAACTATGCTTTCTCTGTACGGTTAATGAATGGTGACATAAAAAAGGTCATATAGGCTTTTACAAGTCAACGAGTGCAAAAAAAGAGGACGGTTGGTCACCGTAGTTACAGTGAATCACAATCGTTTGAAACTTCCTGCATCCGCCAGCAACCTTTTGCTATCCAGCTGCAGAACGCACTTTGTCTCCGTCACACTCAGAGGTCTGAGGCTTTCACTATTTGTGTGTCAGAAAAATGATGAATTTTAGGTTTGTGTGTGAAAACAGCCATTCACCTGTTTGATGCGTTTATGTTGAAGGGAGCAGTGAACTGAAAAAGTTGCTTTAATTTAACAGCAGAGAACGAGCAAAGGTTTAAAAACTGCAACCAGCAGAAGCACAAAGTAAAACACTCGTTTGGTATTTAAAGGTCTGAGTCGACCTTCACTCGCTTCTTGAATTCTGTCCTCACTGCATAAACCAGGAAGTCAGCAACACCTGAGAAGCAGCTAATCAATTATTACTAACAGCTGGAGGTGATCACACACACACACACACACAGCCTCAGGTGGTCGGGTATTGTTCTTCAACTATTTACAGGTGAGTTCAGCTGTTACCTGGTGGGAGGACAGCCAGCAGATTAAAGCAAAACTTTCAAATGTCCGAAATTCAACATAATGAAGATTTAACTTAGAGTTCTAATTACTGATATTTCTTTATTAAAACTCAAAATATCCACGATTATCTGTGACTTCAGCTGTGACCTGTGATTAAAACAAATATTTAAAAAATGATAATATTATTTTATCACTTAGCTTCAGTCCAACTCGGCCACCACAAAGGTCATTTTTGTCCATAAAGAAGCAAATATGGCGTCTTAAACTAAAAATAAAAACATGTTATACTCACGCACTAGTCAAAATTCATTCTGTATATTTTTCACGTCCACGCGTCTAAACTGTGTGTGTGCCGCTGTGATTGTATACTGGGAGAATATTTCATGCTCTGTAACTTCAAAGCTTCTCCGTTGTGTTCGTTGTTTCTGCTGCTGGGAGCCACCTGACCCCTGAGCTCTTTAGATCTTCTTAATTATGAATGAATTTAATTTTGTTCTGCCTGGCTGGCTGTGTGAGTGAGTGTCTCAAAAATATGGAAATGTCCTGGAGTAAAGTCGAGAATGAGCCTCTGCACGTCTGACTCTCACACAATACACAAACCTCTCACTGCAGACTAAATGCAGATTTATGTACCTGCTGCTGGACTTTTTTAATTACTACTTTCAGCCAACACAGGTTTCACTTGGTGCCTCCATCTGTTAGCTACTTTGGGTTTAAATAGAAAACTCTGTGGTTAATGTTCCTCTGAGATGAAAATAACAGCTTATTTGATGCTCAGTCATCCAGGTAAGGAAATCCCAGAAAGCCCACTGAAGACGCTACGTCCAGTTTTCAGTGGGAGAAACGGTCCGTCACTCATCCAGGTGACCTCTTGGTGTTGAAACATGTACCTGCAGACTATTCACACCTACAGGCCAGTGGCCACGCCTTCAATGATGAGGATGTAACATCCTGGACAGGGAGGAACGCTGGTTTGAAGGCGGAGTCAAGGAGGCCATTTATGTGAAAAGGGTAGAGACCATCTCTGAATGGAGGAGGGGGCCTAAGGGTACATCTGTCACCATCTTACAATGCTGGCCATTGATTGGTGGTCAAGACAGTTTGCATATTATTGATCAAGGAAGTGACCTCACAGCCCATTGTTCCTTCAGTGGGCTGGTTTCAGTCATTATGCAAATGTCCTGTTTCTAAGGTTGGAAAGCTGCAGTCAGCTGAGACTGAAGACGTCACCTGATGATGACGAAGCGTTGATGATGTGTTTTCGATGTCTTGGCTCTCACAGGGCAGACGGACGCATTTCATCAAAACTGGCAATTATTATTCCAAGTTGCTCTTTTTCTTTAAAACTCTGGATTAACGTTGCTGCACGTCTGTAAGCTGCTTTGCAACCCACCTCCAGCCCTTCACATGCTGTTTATGAGCTAAATTAGTATCAGTAAAACCTAAAAGTAAGTTTTGTTCTTCCCTCAGATATTTGCAGGGACTGAACTTTAAGCACGGACAGAGCATGTGCAGAGGATGTTGTAGTAAAGCAGACTGACCAGTAGTAGGCAGCGTTTGGAGCGAGTAGCATCCACGCTGACGGTGGCATCCTCTCCTCCTGCTCCCTGCGACTGAAACAACCATTGAAGAAGAGCACGAGGACGAGGAAGAAAGGGACGTACCTAAGGAGGAAAACGATCCTCGTTACAAGAATAAATGTCAAACATCGACATCGTCTGCTCTTTTGTTGAAAAATCGCTTTTCCTTTGAATTTAAAGCTGCATTTGTTTTTGTCTGTTTTGAAACATTTTTCTGCACTTGTGCTTAATTATAATTATACATTTTTGTCCGCATGTGGAGTCATCGCTTAACACAACACAACAGCTTTTTCTCTTCTTACCACATCATGTGACCAACAGTGTCATCGTAGTGAAACAGCAGCTCAAAGACGTCGACCTGAAAAACACAAAAACTTTATGAACACGAATCAATTTTATTCATTTATTTGTTTTATTTCTCAAATAGCAGATGATGCATCAGTCATTCAACTGTTTCCCCAAGTTCAGATTCACATGTGTCCTCGGGTCTGCGGCGCTGTTCGTCCATCTGGAAGGTTTTGGTGTCAGCTGTCAGATTTCTGCTGCCTTCTGTATGAAGATCAGTGGAGGTTTCTTACATTCTACTTTCTCTGAACCACACTTCACTCACCAGCTTAGACTGAAGGATCAGAATCAATGTGTCAGAAACAGACCTGGAGTCCTTTAAATTCTCACTGTGTTGTTGTGCATTCAGTTCAGATTGTAATGGGGACGAGCTGAACTCTGTATCAGGAGAACAAGTGTTCAGCTTCCGTTTCACTAAATCTGACTCACACCGAGGGAGGATGAGGAGGAGGAGGAGCGGTTCGGTTCTTACAGAAGGATCTCAGCTCAAGGACCCCCTCCTGAGCTCAGATGTATATTTTCCCACCGTTCACGGTCCGGGGTCCTCTCACTGTTTGTTATTCGGTCTTTCGAGTGCAGCACCTACCAGGGCCGAAGGTTTGAGGTTCCTCATTATTGGATTCTCTCTAACAGGCAGGTGCAGCTGGTAACCAATCAGCAGCAGGCGTCTCGTGATGGAGTCTGCCACCAAGTGAAGGGTGGTTCCCATGGAAACGGCGATGATGCCAAGGCGGACGGCGAGGCCCGGGAGCATCCAGGGGCTGCGTTCAAGCATCTGAGACGGAGCAAAGTCAATTAAAACTCAGAAAATCGACACCAAAGGAGTTCATCATGTGGGATAGCCTGAGGCGCGTCACAGTTACTTTGAGAAGTATGAGCGGAGCCGTGACGTTGTACAGGAAGTGGAGATGGTCTGCAACCCCAGGATGCTGCAGAGGGAGCCAATCGGCAGGGAGGACGAGCTGCCAAAAACAAGACACTTCATGGTTAGGTTTTCCCAACATTATTCCACTAATGCTTTATTATTATAATAATTATTATTATTATTATTCCAATGCAGATGAGCGAGGTGGCGTCTTAATGAAAATATAGCGATGACTGAAAGCGATCACGTTTCAGCAGCAGAACAAAACAGATGCTGAATGTCCTGTTAGGCTCCCTCTGGGTGAAAATAGAAAGTCCCGAAATTAAGCGCTAGTCATCGTTTTGTTACCATGACGACAGGACGGCCAACATCCAGGATCCAATTCTGGAAGGTGAAGCTGAGCCAGAGGTCTAGGTGGAAGCGAGGCCTCGGCAGAACCGCCTCCACCTGCGTGGAACCGGCCGAGCGGCTGCAGGACACAGAGACGAGCGGAGGAACGTAAACGCACCGTTAACACAGAAAAAACATAGAAGCAGCTGAAACAGGAAGACGGGAAAATGGGAGCTCGGTGATTGCAAAAGGTGAAAAATGTCTCCAGCCTTCACAGGTTACGGACGTCAGGAGGTCTGAAACAACAGCACAGAGTCTGTTTGAAGGGAGGCTGCAGTGGACTCTGACTCTCAGACTTATACGAGCTTATACTGACTAGTTTAAGAGAATGGGTCGTATGAATAAAAAGAGCTTGTCTTCCATTGAAATTAAATTGATATTCAGACCTGTCTGAAATCTCACAGAGCCCTCGTCTGGGCGCACACGCTGGACTGATCTCAGGAGCTGAGTTATGGATGTGGAGCGGGCTCCTGAGGTAAACTGGTCCTGGATGAGGGCCCAGAGGGCCACACAGAAGAAATCAAGTGCCCTGACCCTGGAGCCAGGACTGGGGAGGAGGGGCCACCTTTCTCTGGGCCAGGGGTGTCAAACAAAAGGTCTGGGGGCCAAAAGTGGCCCAGCAAAGACCCAAATCTGGTCAAATGAACAGCTCTGGATGTGTTAAAGCAGACGTAAGTGTTGGTTTTAAACATTTTTTACAAGTTTTACAGAAACAGACAATCAACTAACAGAAGTTCCTGTTTTTTCACAATCGAAGAAGTTTATTATTTTCATCATGAGGCACAGTTAAAAATGTAGTTTATTTCTCACACGTTTTAGAGTTGTGCTGATAGATATTTCTTTCATTTACTACAGCAGCGTTTCTTTATCATGAGGTGTTTTCAGGAAAGTCGGACTAACAGGAGGCCCTGAGCTGAATCTGGAATACTTTTATGAGCCCTGAGGAGAACTCAAGGACATGGACGAATAGATGGATGCAAGGATGGATGGCACAGTTTAGAGGTTAAAATTTTCATCTAATCTCATGAATTAATTAGTAAATAAATAAATTAGATGTTTCTGTAGAGGCGTCTGCAGATGTCTTTTAATCATTGGTCCAAAGCTGTGACATTAATTAAAGGTGAATAACTGATTATGGGTGGGAATTATGAGAAATTGAACTGCACAAACCTGCACATGAAAGCTGCTGCACGCAGAGCTGGGTTCTCTCTCTTCCTCGTGGACGTCTTCGTGTCTGTCCGTAAAGTCATATTCTCTGCGTTATTGTCCTTTTCATTCCCACCGAGGTGTCAGTCCCACAGCGAGCACCGGTGCTCCAGAAACGGTTTCTCTTCATCTGAAATAAATCAAAGCAAATGATTTCACCAGCACAAACACAGAGCTTCTACAGGAAGTCCATCCATCAGGTTAATCTGTCAGCAGATTAGCATTAATCTGCACAAACCCCCCTCCCAGTTTTTATTAGATTAATCTGGTTTAGATGAGCTGATCTCAGAGCTTATGGTCCTGGAGTTCAGTGTAAAGAGATAAAACCTCAAAAACATGTTTTCATTTTACTGAAAAGGAAAAAATGAACCTGCAGCATCTGACTGAGCAGAGCTCAGACTGAGCTTGCTCTGCTGAAAGTCAGCACTTTGTAGTTTGAACTGCTTTCAGGTGACATCAGGCTGACTGGGACAGTACAGCTATAGCTCATCTTTTCACCTGCCGAGTGAAAGTAAAAAACCCAAACTTTGAAACCACATAATCACAACTACATTTTTTAAGCAGTCAAACAGTCTCAAAATGAATCTGCCTGAAATGCAGCATAAAATCAGGGAATGTACAGAACATAACGGATTAATGGCCTCTCAAGAAAAACACCACACTCACACTTTAATAAGTGTTAGAGAAAAAAACTGTATGGCAATTAATAAGAAAGAAATTGATTAATGACACATATCAAAAATTAATAATATAAAAATTGCAAATTTACCACAACTTGACACAAAAATTTAAAATAAGCAAAAGAAAAACTGGAAGATTTCCTTTTTAAAAATGTGAATAATAATAATAATAATAATAATAATAATAATAATAATAATAATAATAATAATAATAATAATAATAATAATAATAATAATAATAAATTATAGGCAATTTAAAAAACAAACTACGAAATATATGAAATATTTAGACAAATTTCAAAATAATCTGAAGCTTGGGAAATTAATGGCAAAAAATATCTATATAATTTTTTTTTTATCTTAATTTAAAATTCAAGTTAAAGTCATTATTTTATACTAAACCAATTCAAATGGATATCTCGTGATTATCCTGACGGTTTTTGTTTTGATGAGCAGATGCAGTAATTGACCCGGACCAGAGGGTGGCGCTGCAGTGCGGGCCCTCTCGCGGTGAGCAGCAGAAGAAGAGGCGGGAACAGAAGTTGCTGGAGAACGTTCCTGTCGGAGGTGTTTTAAAGCGGAAACTTCCGTGAACGCTGAAATCAGCTGTTTGTTTCTGAGTGTTTGACGCTGCGGGACGTCGTTTTTATTTTCAGCAACAACAGGAGGTGTCATTTATCTGACCTTTGACCTCAGACACGCTTTGGAAGCCGCTCGCTGACGTTAGCAGTTAGCCGTCGGAGCTAACCGGTCCACTCGCTCTGCTGCTGCCGGAGACGCACACCCAGAGTCCAGTGCTTATAGTCAAACCAGCCGGGACCTCTGAACGTTTCCTCCGGGGCTGTAGGTAGGACAGAGCCGTTTCATGTCACCCCCGGGGCCGGTGTGGACTCTTTAATGGGAGGCGGATCGCTCCGGGGGAGTGGACGCTGTCAGTTTGGAAGAACGCGGAGCTCCTGGCTTCCTCTCGGGCTCTCATGGAGTCTCTGGCCGGGTATGTGTACAAGGCTGCCAGCGAGGGCCGAGTCCTGACCCTGGCCGCGCTGCTGCTGAACCACTCCGAGGCGGAGACGCAGTTCCTGCTGAGCTACGTGACCCACCTGAGCGGCCAGAGGTCCACCCCGCTGATCATCGCGGCGCGGAACGGCCACGACAAGGTGGTCCGGCTCCTCCTGGACCACTACAAGGTGGACACCGAGCAGACCGGCACGGTTCGGTTTGACGGGTACGAGCTCACCCGAGGCTACCTGCGCTCCACAGCCAGGTTTATTACTCAGATATCACCAGTTTCATGAAGTCAGGCAGGACAGAGGTCACGCAAAACTCAAAGTGTTTGTTAAAAGAAAAACCGAGTTTACAGAAATTCGTCTGATGTAGTTTGACTGGTCCTCACCTGCTAACCTGCTGCACCAGCTTATGTCCACAGCAGCTTTCATATAGTGCCCTAAATAAGTGTCAATCAAACTAATCTTGGGAAATGAATAAACTTAACAGAAGTTAACAGAAACAAAACTGGTGCATTTGTGAAAAAAGGGTCAGAGGTTAAAAATGGAAAAAGTCTGACATGATGATGGAGAACTAATAAGACATTTTTGTTGGAAACAGTTTTAGAGGATGTTTAAAAAGGACAATTATTACATTTTACAGCTGTTAGCTGCTGTTAGTCTGCATTAGTGAAACTGTTTGAAATGGATCTGTCGTTGTTGGAGGAGGAGGAGAGCGGGATGATGAAGGCGTACATGTGTGAAAGTCATAGTATGGTCTGACAGCGGTTTGTGGTGTTTGGGGATAAGTCGTACTCTGTGCGGGCGTCTCTGATCACATACATAAAATGTGATCAGGTGAAAAGACGATTTCCATCTCGGCCACTGTATTCCACTTCCACACGCTGCGAACCATATATACCGTATATTTTAATGGATTAATTCTAAGTTGATTCAAATTCAAATTTTATTTGTCACGTACACAGTCATACACAGTACGATATGCAGTGAAATGCTTGGACAACTGCTCGTGACCTAAAGAAAACAAAAAAGGAAAAGGCTATGAATAAGATAGGAAATAAATATGAAAAATTAAAAAGGGTAAATTTAACTAGGAAGGAATAAAATATAAATTAAGGTTAAAAATGAAATAACTGTACAACACAAATTAGAATGAAGGGTAAACTTAACTGGGAAGAATAAGATAAAATATATAAATTAAAGTTGAAAATGAAATAACTGTACAACAAAATACACAATAGAACTATATAAGAATGTATGAAGAAATATAAATAAATATATACACAATAACAGCAGCTGTACAAGTATTAACTGGAAATGAAGAATATAGTGACCAGTGTTGTGCGATCCACATTATGTCTTGTGCAGTGCAAATATGCTTAAAGTGATTTAAGTAATGAAGTGAAACCAAAGTCCAGAATGTCCAGTGTGTGTGTAAGAACTGTATGTGTGGGTCAGTACTGTGTGGTGGTGTGATTGAGAGACCGTATCGCCTGCGGGAAGAAGCTCCTCCTCAGTCTCTCTGTGTTGGTCTTCAGGGAGCGGAATCGCTTTCCTGACCTCAGCAGAGAGAACAGTCTGTTGTTGGGATGGCTGAGGTCCTTCACCATCTTCCTGGCCTTGGTCCAGCACCGCCTGCTGTAGATTGAGTGCAGGTCAGGGAGGGGTGATGCGAACACATCAAGAGGATATATATGAATACTATAATCTGGTTTCTATCAAATACTCTAAAAAAATGAGGTACTGTATGTTTACCGTTATATAAGCGATCTGTTTCACTGCAGCGAGGTCTGCCTGTAAACGTGCTGTTAAATGTTCTTCAGTGCTTTACGTGATGAGGCTGAAGGCTCGGTTAGATAATCAGAGCACCTTTGAAGTGATAAGAGAATCCGGATCACGGGGAAAGACCAGGTTTCTGTTTCATTTTAAAAGCATTGAAACCAAAAGCTTCATTCAGCGGCTCTTTACCTCAGCAGAAGGTGTTTGCTTTTTAAATTATTCCTCGTTTAATGAGCAGTTTGTCAGGAAACAGATGAGCAGCCTGAGGGGTCGACGTGCTGCAGGTCTGCTGCCGCTATCCAAACGTGACGGTTCAGAGTCTCCGTGGAACGGCACAAAGACCGCGGCGTTTTCTCTGATGGTTCAAACATCTCGTGGAGGTCGACAGATGTATTCAAAGCATGTCTGTGTCCTCTGGTCCTCAGTCATCAACGTCACAGTCAGTCCCACTGTGTGCTCTCTGCAGTAAAGGAAGAGGGCGCGCTTGATTCATAACCAGACAAAAGAGAGCTTGAATTTTACTGAGATTGTTCTGTTTTCATGAGTTTTGGTAAACTGACACCTGCTCTACGTAAACGGCTTTCATTTAGAAAACACTGAATGGGTGAAGGACAGAACTCCTGAAAATTACAATTCAACCAACAGTTGAATCTGTTTTTATTGTTCTTGTAGTCGTTACTGTCGTTGTTGTTTGAATCGTGACCATTTAACCGGAGGATGATGACACGTTAACGTTTGTTGTCTCTGGCCTGCAGCTACGTCATCGACGGTGCCACGGCGCTGTGGTGTGCAGCCGGCGCAGGACACTTCGAGGTGGTGCGTCTTCTGGTGAGTCACCACGCCAACGTCAACCACACCACCATCACAAACTCCACCCCCCTGCGAGCCGCCTGCTTCGACGGGCGTCTGGACATCGTTCGCTACCTGGTGGAGCACAACGCCGACATCAGCATCACCAACAAGTTCAACAACACCTGTCTGATGATTGCCGCCTACAAAGGCCACACGGAGGTGGTGAGGTTCCTGTTGGAGAAGGGGGCGGACCCCAACGCCAAGGCCCACTGCGGGGCCACCGCGCTGCACTTTGCAGCTGAGGCAGGACATCTGGACATTGTCAAAGAGCTGATGCAATGCCAGGCATCCATGGTGGTGAACGGGCACGGCATGACGCCGCTGAAAGTGGCGGCGGAGAGCTGCAAGGCTGACGTGGTGGAGCTGCTGCTGGCGCACGCCGACTGCGACCCTCACAGCCGCATCGAGGCCCTGGAGCTGCTGGGCGCCTCGTTCGCCAACGACAGGGAGAACTATGACATACAGAGGACGTACCACTACCTCCACGCGGCCATGATGGAGCGCTACCGCGATCCAGACAACAACATCACCAAGGAACTGTTCCCAGCCGTCGAGGCTTACGGAGGGCGCCGCGAGTGTCAAACGCTGCAGGACCTGGAGGCCATCAGGGTGGACCGCGACGCCCTGCACATGGAGGGACTGATGATCCGAGAGCGGATCCTGGGCTCGGACAATATCGACGTGTCGCATCCGATAATCTACCGTGGCGCCGTCTACGCTGACAACATGGAGTTTGAACAGTGCATCAAGCTGTGGCTGCACGCCCTCCGCCTGCGGCAGAAAGGAAACCGCAACACGCACAAGGACCTGCTGCGCTTTGCCCAGGTGTTCTCGCAGATGGTCCACCTGAAGGAGCACGTGTCAGCCGCCGCTGTCGAGCAGGTGCTGAGTTGCAGCGTTCTGGAGATTCAGCGCAGCATGGTTCGCGTGGAGGCCGCCGCTGAATCCGAGCTGCCACAGGCTATGGAGAGTTACGAGTCCAACGTCTTCACCTTCCTGTACCTGGCGTGCATCTCCACTAAAACCACCTGCAGCGACGTGCAGCGCGCCGCCATCAACAAGCACATCTACGACCTGATCCAGCTAGATCCGCGGTCACGCGAGGGCGCCTCGCTGCTCCACCTCGCCATCAGCTCCACCACGCCGGTGGATGACTTCCACACCAACGATGTGTGCAGCTTCCCCAACGCGCAGGTCACCAAGCTGCTGATCGACTGCGGCGCGCAGGTCAATGCCATCGACAACGAGGGCAACACGCCGCTGCACGTCATCGTCCAGTACAACCGGCCCATCAGCGACTTCCTCACGCTGCACGCCATCATCATCAACCTAGTGGAGGCCGGCGCGCACACGGATATGACCAACAAGCAGAACAAGACGCCGCTGGACAAGAGCACGACGGGCGTGTCCGAGATCCTGCTGAAGACGCAGATGAAGATGAGCCTCAAGTGCCTGGCGGCGCGCGCCGTCCGGCAGCACCAGATCACGTATCGCAACCAGATCCCCAAAACGCTCGAAGAGTTCGTGGAGTTCCACTGACGCCGGACGATTTTTAAAAACGTTTTTCTAACAGTTCACACGGTGCTGAGGTTGGCAGCTCAGATCGTTTTTTGAGCATTTTTATATAAAAAAAATCTTTTTTTTCTTTTCGGCAGCACCAGGCAGCTTCCTGTTTTGCCTTACCTCTCTGCCAGGAAGCTGCCGCCACGTCGCCGCGATTGTGTAAGAAGAAATGATCGGACCGAAGGAACGAGTGCCTGAAGAGACGCCGCCGGACGACCGAGCTCAACCACCAATCAGCCGTCGCGCAGAGGATTATTTTTTAATTGGAGAGAAGTTTTTATTGGGGTTGTTCCTGACTGTGGCGGGTCGAGGCTGAATTCAGACGTCTGCTTCATCACGTTTGAGTTCAACTTTTTCTTCTGGCTCTAAAGAAACTGTGCGGACACTCCTGCTCTGAATCCTTCCACGCCCTTTTATTTATAGTTGTGGGTATTTATTTGGGCAGCGTTCAGCCTTTTTCTCATCAGCTGTGTCGGGTTTTGTTTTTGTTGTTTTTTTAATGAGATTTCTGATAAAATAACTGCAAATGAGCTGCTTTGACTTTCTCTCACTGTCTGAGAAATTCTAAAAAGAAACAGCATAAAAAATGTCAAAGTTTAGTGTTAGAAAGAAAACAGACTACCTTTACACGGAGTTTCATCAGATTTGTCTGAATGCAGATTTTATGTCCCGATAAAGTTAGTTTTTTTTTTCGTTAATGGAGAAGTACGTGCCAAAAAGCCTCCGCCGAGGGTCGAACTGAGTCTTGAAGCCCAGATTCAGTTGAAGTGTTCAAACCGACGTCTCTCCTGCTGTTGTAGAAATCAGCAGGAGTTACACTTTGATGCCATAACGTGACAAAGTTTTATTTTATTCTAACTTTTGACACCAGGATGTGAAAAGTGAGCCAACAAAAGGCTCGTCAGTCGGTCTCTTACGGTTTAGATAACGAGCACATCTCAAGCTCGCCGTGATGGATGTTTCTCCACGCTGACTCTTGGGAAGCTGCGAGCGTTTCGGGGGCGGGGGACTCGACTGCCGGCGGCCTTCCGACTGACACGTGGGGAGCTGGTGCGGCGTCGCCTGGGCGTTAATGACCATATCTGCGTCACCCTTGCGCACTCGCAGACTTGAAAATTGACCGAGGCGTTGGGGATCTGCAGAACCGCCCGTGGAATTTACTGTAATGTTTTGGCGTTTGTTGAAAGCCTCTCGTGTTGGTGAACGCCCCGCTGCAAGAATCAAAGATTTTAAAACTGGATCTGAAACCAAACAAGGAAAAGAAATCAGTTTTGAGTGCAGGTTTCAGATTTCTGCATCGTAGGCGTCACCTCACCGGGATCAGCAGTGCCTTTAAGTAAAACGTCCGGATAATCCCGACTCGCATCCAGTCTGATGGGCCGTTTCTGGCTTTAAGTTTTAATATGAGCGTCGTTAAAGTGAGTGGTTGAGAAATAAATGGTAATCTTACTCGGTGCTAGCGTTTAGCGGTGTGAGACTGGAGTCGGCGGATTAATTTTCCAGATCTGGAGCAGGATCCTCCAGGAGGGACGTTAGAGGATGAAGGTTTTGATCGATGCTCTGCGGGCGTTTTTTGCATTCCTGCCGGATGTTGAATATCGACGCCGCGGCGTTTTATTTATCTGGGAGCAGGTCCGACTCTTCTCACATCCCTCCCCTACTGAAGCTGCCTGTCACTTTATAAACACCTTTAACCCAAACGTCACGTTCGTGAACATTTGTGCTCAGGTCGTTGAGCTTTAGATGCTCGCTAAGGCCCGGCCTGTTTGGTCCAAAGTGAGGATGAGACGTTTGAGAGCAAAGCTGTGGATGCTCCAGCAGAGGCCCGCTCTTATTTTCCACACAGGTGCCAAATCTCACCTGCTCTCATGTTTATTGCAATAATATGATGTTCAAATGTAGACCTGAGGTGGGAATGGTGTGAGATTTAGAAAAGTTTCCTGCTGATGTTTCCTCCTGTGTTTAACATCAGACTTTATTATAACACTTGGGAGGACGGCCAAGCGTTCGGGTTGTTTTACTCTGTTTGGGAGCGCTCGCACCTCAATTGACCGTTAAACATCAGGTTTAACAAGCCGATCATGGTGGAAACTTTCTCGAGGCTCTTCTTGGGCCACCGTTTGGCGTCCTGTAATCAGGTGTTGAAGAGCGTTTGCTCTCCTAATAAAACTCCAGCTTTTATTACCCATGTGCTCACAGGGCATTAGTCTGCCATCCACAGAGCTCGTTCTGTTTAATTCATTTTTAATTTCTTACAACTATCATTGCAGGAGTGTTTGTGTCCTGGTGGGACCTTTTTTTCATTAAAAGCAGGTTTCTGTGGCTGAGATGAAGCCAAAGATGCTCAGTGTGCCAGGAAAACGTAAGAGATGTCAGCTGATGGGTACTTCCTGCGGGGTGAATGCTGTTAAATTAAAGTCTTCTGTCTGAGCTCAGCTGCTGTGTCCTGTTGTTGATTTCTTTTCCGTCTTTGAAATTGAAACTGCCAAAATTCAGATGAGTAAAGTGTCCAGGTTCAGGACTGCGAGGTTCCCAGCAACCACCTCAACGTGAGGAGGAAGAGCGGCTGAACGCCGAGCTCTTCAGCCTGTCTGAGGAGGAGCCTTGTGTCTGCGATGGCCGCCTTATTTCTGCCACTGGGCGGGAAAATGCAAACCACGAGTAAGATTGGAAACGATTCTGCAATCATTCAAACGTTGGGTGTTTCAAACTTTCAAGCGGCTTCTTTATAAGATTTCCAAATGTTTAAGTCGGAACTTCATTGCACATCGACGTGCGGGAGAACGTGACACAATCCCAAATTTCAAGGATCAGAACCTCCAGATGTGTGGGTGTGTTTTGTGAAAACATATAAAAAACTGATCCTGGAGTCGAAGCTTTGGTCCGTGTTTCAGGACTCAGTTGAGCACTGAGAGGCGGGACCACACCTGAGGATGCAGACCGACCTGGAGCGGCAGCCAGCGGTGTGTCGGGCGTCACACGTGACTGTTTTACTAGTTTTATATTCAGTAGCGGTGTGCGTTTGAGCTACGAGTAAGAAAATGCAGTGATCTGATTGGTCAGATCTGAAAAACTGAGCTTGATTAAAAAATAATAATAATAACTGCCATAAATGTGTCTGGTCAAGTTACACGTCCCTGTAAAGGCTGTTACTTTTCAAAGTTTGAGTTGGGCGTCTCAAAATTTCAATTTTCGTCTAAATAAGTCGAAATTTGAGATTCTGAATTTAGAATTTCAATTTATCTCAAAGTGACAAGAACACGGATGGATGGGTACAACAAACAGACTCGGGAGGAACTTGAAATTTCAGGATCTCTGATTCAAACTTTTAAAATATTTACTCAAACTTTTGAGATTTATCCAGAAAATTTAAAGAAAATTTTGAATGATCTCAGATCTTTGGGTTATCTCAACATTTCAGGTTATTAAAGAGTCCAAATTTCAGACAAAGAAGGTAAACGTGAGCGAACAGACGGACACGACTTTCATATTTCTCGTCTTTATTCTGACATTAACAGGCAGAGCGGAAACCGCTTCGACGGTGACGCCTCGGCCCTCATTCGTCATACATGTGAATATTTACACAAGTTCAAGTTTGACTTTTAAACAAAAGTGCATCAGCTACAATATATAAGAATTAATAGGATATATTTACAATTTAAGAAGATGAAATCAGACGAATGTTAGGTAGTTTTCTTTCTGCCCCGTCAGCCTCCGTTTAAATATTTACTCCATCGCTCTCCGTTGTCACGAGGCCTCCGTCACACCTGTGAAGTTCTCACATGAAAGGCAGACGTCGGCGACGCTGAAGAATCCTAACCCTTCGATGTTTCTAATGCTGACTCCGTCTTTTATATACAGTCTGTGGGTAGCTTCAATCGCACATCGCGTGGACGAAGAGGCGGGTTTAAGGTGAGGGTCGCAGTCCCTGAGTGACGGGTGGAGGCACGTGATGCGTTCAGGTGACCCATGTGAGGTCGTCAGATTTTCTCAGTGTCTTTAAGGTTAAATTTCATCGGGAACATTAATTTAAGACTTTGCAGGCCGGCGAGGAATGATGCGGCGGTGATGTCAGCCACGTTATAGCTCCTGTGCCGTCTTCCCATTGGCCACAGGCTGCTCCTCTTCCTCCTTTCTTCTCCGTCTGTTAAAGAAGCCGAGCTGAAGAGAAAACAAGGATTTACGGTTTGTGACGGACAGTAGAGCCGTTTGATCCAGACGTCCACTGTAGAGCAGAGCTCAGAACAGAGGAGTACTCTGATGATGTTCGAGGCTCCGTGTGTGTTTTTACCTTCCACAGAGCGAGGACCAGTAAGGCCAGCAGCAGCAAACCTCCCAGTGAGCTTCCCACTATGATCCAGATGGGGATGGAGTGATCCTCCTCCTTCCTCAGGTCCAGAATGATCTGCAGTTACAGCACAAACCACCTGAGTGTGTGTGAAACCAGTGTTTGACAGATTTCTGTTTTTATGTCAGGCGGTCTAATGAAGTCCTCAAACACGGAGTATAATTTAACATAGAAATATGGAGTCAAACTTAAATAATGTTGACTGAAAATGATGAGTTCAGGTGTTTCTGAGGTTTTCTTCCCTTTTCCACCATTTTTAAATGTAAACTCAGAGACACGATCGTTGCTTCATGTGTAACAAAGAAATGTTTGAAGAAATGCAAAAATGAAACAAGATACAATAAAGAAAATACATTTGAAAAAATATGCAGAAATAGAAAATTAAAGAGACGTACATTATTGGAGAAATTACACAGGATGTAAATAGAGGAACCAATTAAAAGGAAATAATATCAGAAATAAGGTTTTATCTTCATTTAGATTCCGACATAATTAAGGACTAGTTTCTTTTTATATTTTATTCGTTGCATTTTGGCACCTTTGGTCCTCCGTACTCCATGTGGTTCAATGTGTTTTTAATGTAAAGCAAAAGGGTGTAATAGTTCCTGACAGCAGGTGGCAGCACCGCTCTGTGTGTGTGAAGCGCTGATGATCAGGTGATTTAAAACGTTGGCGTGAACGTTGTGGTCAGCTGATAGAAGGCCGCTGGGTTCAGTCACAAAGAGTTGGGAGGTTAAACCTGTTTATCCCAGAGTGACCTCTGTCCTCCAATGGGAGAGCGATGCTGATGGGCTCACCTGTCTGACAGGTCGGTCCTCCTGGAGGAAAATGGGACTAGACGCTTCCAGCTGGATGGAGGCGGCGGTCAGCAGCTCCAGAGACCTGAACTTCACCTGAAAGAGTTAAACAGGTAGTGAGCGCCACCTGTGCTTTCTCCTGCGGCTAAACTGAGCCTGTTTCTGGTTAGTCGGGAATTTGATGGACTTCCTGTTTCCTGAGCTTTGTCTCGCTTTATGAAAACGACAGATGGGAGGAACTCACGGCGAGCAGAGCAGCGAGCTGAAGGCTTCCTGTGAGCGTCACCTTCACCTCTCGGGAGGGCGGGAGGTTCAGTTGGCACCGGACCTCCATGTTCGCGCTGTTACTGTGGTTCTGCGCACACACACACACACACACTCTGGGAAACACTGTTGTTTAACTCCACTGTTATCCTGACTCTAACAGGCTCCTTCAGCCTTACCAGCTGTGACAGGTGAGTCAGATCCTCAGGTGTGACAGGACTGCTCATTCTAACGTGAGGCAGCGTGCAGCGGGATCCCGCTGCCTGCTGGGAGGAAGAGGAGGACTCCGTTATAATGGTAACCTCTAGCTTTGATTGCTGCTTCGCCAATCTGGGCCAAAACATTAAAAAAGCAGCTGAGCACAGTAAGTCAGAAACACGGCGACAGGACAGAAAAAGAGAAACCCTCCGTTTGCAGTAGATATGTGACAGGCAGGTGGCGCTGCTGTCACTCACGCTCCTCACAGTTTAGTGAATAAGTGATGCCTGTACAGTGAAAGCTGAGGGCTTTGCAGCAACAAAGGCGGGAGTTTCATTTTAAATCGATTTAATCCTTCATTAAGGGTAAAACCTGAAAGTACAGGGAAGGCTCATTCAAGCGAGCCATCTGTTCCTGCAGCGTCGGTGAACAGAGATAACCACAGCACAAAGATTTCCAGCGTCACCTGTTCGATGCTGACGTCCGTAATGTTCAGCAGCTGGTTTCCTCTCATGGTCACAGCCCAGACATCAGCCCCGAACAGGACGCCCTGCACCGAGAACAGGCCCAGGTTCTGGATCTGCACACACGGGAGAACCGCATCAGAACGTCTTTATGAGCAAACATCTGCAAACATGCACACAGTTTGTTTCACTCACGTAATAGGAGAGGTTGAAGGTGTGAGAGCTGCTGTCTGATTGGTCCCAGGACGAAGAGGAGGAGGAGTCAGCTCTGATTACAAAACGAGGAGGGTCTCTGTCCAGAGAAGGAAGAAAGCAGACACACGTGAACTCTTCTGAATGCGCAGATGCAACTTTTTAAACTTTCAAATCACAAAAAGCTCAAAAGCTTCAGCCACCTGGTGAAGAGGAGCTCGGTTTGGTATTTCAGGGGGAGAAAGATGTCATTGGTGTTGTCGTCCGGGTAACCCTCGTCCCCCTCACTGAGTAACACACAGATAAGCACGCTTAAAAGGACGAAAGCTTGAAAGTTCAACGTAACACTTTACAATACAGCCCACGGCGAAGGGCATAATTAATCTGTGATTACAAATAATTCAAAGTATTTTATTTATATTTACTTACAAATACTCAACCAAACACTCCAGGCTGTGTTACCACCAAAATAAATGAAAGGTTTAAACTTTGTCCAAGATGAGCAGGAGAGAATCGCGCTCGTCCCACCACGTGTCCATAAATTATGACATACATCTGGCTCCATCTGACCAATCAGATGCATCCAGGTGTTTCTTTGGTCGCACCAATCATCGAGCCTTCGCCATCACAGTCAAACCTCCCACAGGAAGCGATTCTTTTATTTGGAGCAAACTTCCTCTTTCCTCCTTTAAACAAAACATTTAGAAACCAAACCTGTATGGACTGGGTTTCTTAAAATCAAGTTTTTATCGTCTTTTTTACTGTTTCCGTCTTTAAATCATATCATCTGTTTTCTGGTTGTTTCTTCTGCTTCATGAAGCTGAACAGCGATACCTGAGTCCCTGGATCTGGATTCATCTGTGAGTAATCACCAAAAAACCATCACACACGCTCAGGTAGGAATTCACCTGGTCTCCTGTCGAAGTTTCTAATGTTCTCCTGTCTCGCAGCCATAAATGATCCTTCTGGAAATTCCTGGATCCAGATCCAGATGTTAATCGACTCCAAAAGTTAATCACTTCGCTACCTCTGGGAACACTTTCATGCAAATCCATCCATAACTTTTAATCTAATCCTGCAGCAGTCAGGACAGAAAACTCACATAACCTCATTCTTTCCTCTTTAATAAACACGGCACAGATTCCCAGCTGATGTTTTATGAAACTGGATCA